CTTAACCAATAAAGAAATTAAAGATAAAAATAAATAAATAAATAAATAAAGTAACAATGGTCTCAAAGAATGAGTTAGGAAGTATTCTTGTTTCTACCCTCTGAAAGAGATTGTAGATAATTGGTATAATTTTTTACTTAACTATTTATTTCTTTATTTTAGATATATTTCTTTATTGATTTTAGAGAGGAAGGGAGAAGCAGAGAGAGATAGAAACATCAATGATGAGAGAGAATCATCAATCAGCTGCCTCCTGCACACCCCCCACTGGGGACCGAGCCCGAAACCCAGGCATGTGCCCTTGGGCAGAATCGAACCTTCAGTTCGCAGGCCGATGCTCTATCCACTGAGCCAAGCCGGCTAGGGCTTACTTAACTATTTAATAGAATTCACCTGTGAACCCATTTGGGCCTGGTGCTTTCTGCTTTGAAAGGTTATTAACTATACTAGAGGCCCGGTGCACGAAATTCGTGCATAGGGGGTCCCTCAGCCTGGCCTGCACAATCCGAGATCCCTCTTGCAATCCAGAACCACTGGCTCCTAAGTGCTCACTTGCCTACCTGCCTGATGCCCCTAACTGCTCTCCTGCCGGCCTGATGCCCTTAACTCCTCTCCCCTCCTTGTCAAATCCCCCTAACTGCCTATCTGCTCTCCCCTCCTGGCCTGATCCCCTTAACTGCCTATCTGCTCTCCCCTCCTGGCCTAAACCCCCTAACTTCCCATCTGCTCTCCCTTCCTCTCCGTGCCTTCAGACCCTGGTGCAGGAGTGCTGAGAGCTCTCCACCGAGGCCCCGCCATGCCTCTGCCAGGAGGGCCACCCCCGGCAGCAACCTCATGTCTTGGTGGCGGAAGTCTCCATCCATGTCCCACCCACCAGCTCCTGTGCATGTTCAGCCTGTTGAAGGGTTGTGACTGGGACACCGTTAGGCCCAATTAGCATATCACCTCTTTATATATATAGATTGATTAGATTTATTTGATACAAGCCTATTCAAATTGAGTTTTGACACATTGCACCTTTTAAAGAATTGGTTCATTTTATCGGTTATCAAGTTTGTGGGTATAGAGTTGTTCATAGATGTCCCCTTTTTCATTAGTATTTTAGTGATATAGTAATTTGTGTCATCTCTTTTTTTTTTCTTAGTTAGCCTGTCTAGAGACTTAATGATTGTTTTTATTTTCCCTATTGATTTACTGTTTTCAATTTTATTATTTCTGTTTTTAATTTTTATTATTTCTTTTCTTCTGTATAATTTGGATTTAATTTGCCCTTCTTTTTCTAGCTTCCTAAGATAAAAGCTTGGGTGATTTTAGATCTTTATTCTCTTTTAATAAATGCATTTAAGACTATAATTTTCTCTCTGAATACTGATTTTGCTGCATGTCATATATTTGATATCATATATTTTCACTTTCATTTAGCTAAAAATGTTTTGTGATTCTCTTTATATTTCTTCTTTTAAATGTGTTTAAAAATGTGTTTTTAATCTCCAAGTACTTAGGAATTTTCCAGATATTTTTCTATTACAGATTTCTAGTTTAATTTCACTGGGGTCTGAAAGCAGACATTGCATGGTTTCTATTCTTTTAAATTTGTTAACATATGGTTTATAGCCCAGAATGTGGTCTGATTTGGTGAAGGATTCATGTGAGCTTGAGAAGAATCTGTAATTTGCTATTATTGGATGAAGTAGTCCATAGATGTCAATTATATCCATTTAAGTGATGGTGCTGTTGAGTTCAACTATGTCCTTACTCATTATCTGCCTGCTGGGTCTGTCCATTTATCATTTAAATTTTTTATTTATTGATTGATGACAGCATTATAGAGGTTCCCAATTTTCTCCACCTTTGTCCATCTCCACCTAACCCCCGATTCACCCCGTCTTCCCCATACTATTATCCATATCTCTGGGTTATGCACATATGTTCTTTGATTAATCTCTTCTCATCCCCTCCATCCTCCTCCTCTCTGAGGTCTGTCACTCTGTTCCATATATTCCCACCAGCAGTGTTCTAGGGTTCCCTTTTCTCTAGAATTCAGGGGTGGGCAAACTTTTTGACTCGAGGGCCACAATGGGTTCTTAAACTGGACCGGAGGGCCGGAACAAAAGCATGGATGGAGTGTTTGTGTGAACTAATATAAATTCAAAGTAAACATCATTACATAAAAGGGTACGGTCTTTTTTTTTTTTAGTTTTATTCATTTCAAACGGGCCAGATCCGGCCCGCGGGCCATAGTTTGC